ATTTGGGGCAAAATGGGGTTCAACAGCCAGGATAACCCTCTCCCCACCTTGTCCCACCCACCCACCCCAAATCCTTAATTTGGGTTCAAAAAGCTCAAAGAATCCCAATTTTGGGAATTAAGAGGGCAAAAAATCTGAACTTTGGAAAAAGTGGACAAAAAATCCTGATTTGGTGCACAAAAAGGGTGAAAAATGCCCAATTTGAACACAAAAAGGGCAAAAAATATAAAACTGGGGGGAAAGAATGTGAAAATCTGAATTTTGGACACAAAAAGGGGGAAAAAATTAGATTTGGGGGAGGAAAAATGGGCAAAAAAACCCAAAATTTGGGCACAGAAAGTGTTGAAAAATTCAAAATTTGGGATGAAAAAGGGGTTAAAAATATGAAACTTCCAGGGGGTGAAGGGGCAAAAGTCACTAAACTGAGGGGAAAAAAAGGAAAAACTCTGAAATATGAGCAGAAATTTCTGCACATCCCCAAAAATGAGGAAAAAGAGGGAAAAGCAGGGAATGAAGGCACTCACCGGCCCCTGAGCTCCCGAATTCCCGGGATCCTATGGACACGGCGTTTGGCCCCAAATCCATCTTTTATACCCAAACGGGTCTCGACTGGAGCCGCTTCCAGGGGCGGATTTGGGCCAAAACGTGGGGGTTTGGGCCAAAACCTGCAGATTTTGGCTGATTCGGCAGAATTTCGGGAATGGGGTGAGCCAAGGGGGAGTGACCCCGGAGTTCCAGAGAATTTGGGAAGTGGCAGCTGGATCCTGTCACTGAGGAGACGTCGGGAGGGGGGTAGGACTCCCAGGGTTGTCATGACAGGTGTGGGACCCTCAGGGATGTTGGGACAGGTGTGGGATGTCTTGAGACCTCCAGGGATCCTCACAGACCCCCCGAATTCCCAGAATCGCTGCCCTCCCAGAGTCCTCTGCCCCTGTGACCCCGGGGGGAGGGATGGACCCAAATACGGTTGTTTTTTACCCAAAATGAACGACCCGAGTCCCAGTGGGGATTTCCAGGGAACGGGAAATTCTGGCCCAAACCCTGGGCAGGACTGAGAAAAACCATCTGGAGTCGGGAGGGAAATCAGGCAATTAAAGGTGTTTCTCCTTAAAATGGAGACGGAAAAATGGGGAACCCCTGAACCCCACTGGGACCCCAAAAACTACTCAGGGACCTCCCAAATTCCCCCTGGAAGCCCTCACCCTCTGGACCCCTCAAACCCCTCCAGAAACCCCAAAGCCACACAGAGACCCCCAAAACCAGTCAGGGAAACCCAAACCACCCAGAGACCCCCAAAACCACCCGGGGACCCCCAGAGACCCTGAGGAACCCCTAGGCCCCCTGGACCCCCCAAATCTTCTCCGGGAACCCCAAACCCACAAGGTCCCTGGAGGTCTCTAGGAGAGTTCTACGGTTCCCCTGGAGGGGTCTGGGGGTCCAAGGGGAACCGGGCACGGAGGTTTTGGGGGTCCTTGGGAGGGTTTGGAGTTTCTAGAGGAGATTTGGGGGGTCCCTGTTGGGGACTGGGGGAGGCTAAGAGGCATAAATCCTCAGTGGGAGCCCCAAAGCCGCTCAGGGACCCCCAAATCCTCTGTGGGAGCCCCAGACGCCCTCAGGAGCCCCCCAAATCCTCTCTGGGAGCCCCAAAGCCGCTTAGGGATCCCCCCAAATCCTCTCTGCGAGCCCCAAACGCCCTCAGGAGCCCCCCATATCCTCTCTGGGAGCCTCAAAGCCCCTCGGGAGCCCCCTAAATCATCTCTGGGAGCCCCAAACGCCCTCGGGGAGCCCCCAAATCCTCTCTGGGAGCCCCAAACCCCCTCAGGGACACCCCAAACCTCTCCCGCCCCCCCCCCTTTCCCTTCTCCGGCCTCCCATTGCCCGCAGCGCCCGCCCGTCATCTCCTGCAGCCAATCAGCGCCCGAGAAGGGGCCGTTGGGGAGGGGCCTGGCGGAGCGCGGGCCATGGAGCGGGTGAGGGCTGAGGGGACCCCGGGGACCGGGGGGGATTTTGGGGGGTCCAGGGGGGAATTTTGGGGGTTCCCGCGTCACCCTCCACGGCTTCCCCCCAGGGACTCGGCCTGGAGCAGCGAGCGGAGCGACTGGTGCGAAGGAGGTGGGGGAGCGGCGCAGCCGCCAAGCGACTCCCGGACCTCCCAAGGTCCCCCTCAGTTCCCTGCTCTGCCCTCCCAAGAGCCCCTTGGGGACGCCCAACTGCCCCCCCCGACCCCAAGTACTTCCCCCCCGACCTCACAACCCCTCAAATGCCCCCGGGGTCCCCAAACCCCTCGCGGGGAGCGCGATGGGGGGGGGGTTGGTATTTGAAGGGTCCCAACCTGCCCTTCCCCCCCCCAGCCAGGTCCTACTCAGGCCACGCCCCCGTGGGCCAGAGGGGGCGGAACCTCTGCTCAGCTCCGCCCCCGCTGACCCCGCCCCCGTAGGCCCTGTCCCCGACGACCCCCTCATCCAGTGGCGTCTGAGGCGGCGCCGTGGGGAGGAGCTTGCGCTGGACACGTGCCCAGTGGGCGGGGCGACGCACTGGGAGTCACGTGAGCCCTCCGAGACCCCAAGCAGGGGCCGCTTCTGCACCTCCCACCGCCAGGGGCCGACCTCGTCCCGGCCCCACTCCCAGGAGTCCTTGCAGTGGGAACCATACCTGCGGTCACGTGATGCCACTGGAGCCCTGTGGGGGGCGCCATGTTGGGTGTCACGTGATCCTCAGGATGCTCTGCGGCCAATCAGGAGCAGCGTCCAGGATGCCCAGCAGGGGGCACCCTCACGGCAGGCACTGGGTGAGGGGAATTGGGGGACTGAGGAGGAATTGGGGGATCTGGGGGAGCACTTGGGGGGCCAGAGGGGTAATTGTGGGGCTGAGGGTTCACTTGTAGGGCTAGAGAGGGAATTGTGGGGCTGGGGGGTCACTTGTGGGGCTGGGGGGCAATTGTGGGGCTCAGAGTGATCAGTTACAGGGCCAAGGGGGCACTTGTGGGGCTGTGTGGGTGAACTGTGGGGCTGAGCGGGGGCACTTGTGGATTGAGAGGCACTTGGGGAGTTGAGGGGTCACTTATGGGTCTGGGGGGCAATTGTGGGGCTGGGGCACCCCTTACAGGGTGGGAGGGGTACAGTGGGGTGGGCCCCCCATGACCTCCGGCCCCCCCAGTTTGTCCCCAGGACCCTGTCCTGCGGCTGCTGCGGTGCCACCGCCGGGTCCTACGGGAACAGCTCTGGTATGCCCTCCCCAACCCCCCTTGATTTTGGGGGGGTCCTCCTCCCCCTACCCCTTCCCCACATCCCCCTGACCCCCTTTGCTCTCCCTTTTCCCCCCCAGGACTGTTGAGACCCTCCTGGAGCCCACCAGGTACCCCCCCCAACCTGGAGGGGGCCAATAAAGCAATGAAACCCCAAAGCTGCAGCTGCATGGACCCCAAAATCCCCTCCCCACCTTTGGGGTCACTCCAGAAGCCCCAAGAGTGTTGGCTCGGGGGCTGTTGGGGGTCTGGGGGGCCTATGAGGGTGTTTGGGGTGGGGTTCTGGGAGTCTGGTCATGAAGGAGTTTTTTGGGGAGGGATTCTGAGGGTGTTGGGGGAGGGTCTGAAGGGGGTTTGAGGGTCCCTGGGGCATTAGCAGGGGGCTGTAACTGGCCATGGGGTGTTTTGGGGAGCCCAGGATGGGCTTGGGGGCCCTGGGGGTTTATCGGGGGAAGGGCCTCACCTGGCTCCTCCACCTTCACCTTCACGGCCAACATGGGGTGGGGGGACACCAAAACGCCCCCATCCCTGGGGGAGGGGTGAATGAGGGGTGCCCCAAATTGCCCACAGAACACACCCCACACCCCCCACACACACCCCCCCGCTCCCTCCAAACTGCCGCCTCCCATTGGCTGCTGCGCCCGCCCATCAACACTGCCAACCAATCAGCACCTGAGAATGTGTGGTTGGGGTGGCGCCTTTGGCTGAGTCACTTCACTTCCTGGACTACAACTCCTGTCATGCGGCCCTGTTAGAGACAGGGTTGTCCCTGAGTGCCCCCCAAACAGCGCCCAAATTCCCTCCCCTAATGCCCAAGGGGCCCCAGGCATCGCAGTGATGATGATGATGATGGAGGGAAAGCCATCCCATCGCAGCTCCAGGAACAGTTCAGCCTTTAATTAAAACTTCAATTAAAACTGCAATTGCTGCTGTGGGGGGAGGAGGAGGCCCAGGTCCACATTCCATGGGGGCTGTCCCGAAGGAACTGCTTCAGATCTCTTTCCATGGTCCATTTCCTGCCAGGCACTGGCAGGCACTGGGAACTCCTGGGCCCATGCTGGGAGCCCAAAAGGGACACACTGGGAGCAACTGGTATCAACTGGAAGATACTGGAACCATACTGGATGTACTGGGACCACAACTGGAGCAACTAGGATCATACTGAGAGCAACTGAAACCATGCTGGGTTCATACTGGGAGTGTCTGGAACCACACTGGGGGCAACTGGTACCATACTGGGACTGACTTGGACTGATGGGGATCATACTGGGAGTGACTGAGATTATATTGGGATCATTCTAGTAGTGACAGGAATTGACTGGGACCACTGTAATTGTGACTGGGATCAGCTGGGATCATACTGACTCACACTGGGACTGACTGGAAGTCACTAGGATCATATTGGGGTTACTGGGATTCTGAAAGTGACTGGGATCACAACGGTAACATTCTGGTAGGGATAGGAATTGACTGGGACCATTGTGGGTGTGACTGGGATCATACTGGGAGTGACTGAAACCATACTGGGATTGTATTGGGAGTGACTGGGGTCATACTGGACTCACACTGGGAGTGACTGGAAATCACTAGGATCATATTGGGGTGACTGGAATCAATCTGGGAGCGACAGGGATCACACCGAGACCATATGGGGACCGTAGTAGGATCGCCGCCGCGCTGGGTGCCGCGGGGCGTGGCCACTGTAGATTTATGCTAACGACTCCGCGGCCGCCGCTGCACCATCGAGTCGCGGCCTCCGGGCGGGGCGGAGCGGTTGCGGGCCGCGATTGGCGGGGGCGGTGCGTACGGAAGTGACGTTAGAGCGGCGCAGAGCGGCGGGAGGTTTGAACGGCGGCGGGTCCGGGGGGGGTTCGGGAGTGACGTCACGGCGGTGAACAGGGGGGAAGCACACCCGGGAAGGGCGAGGGGGGGGTCTCACCGGCTGCCTGGACCTGCCCTGACCTCCCTCCCCGGTTTCCCCGGGTCCTCTCCAGCGTCTCCCTGACTCCCGGACCCCGCACCGAGCCCGCGGTGGGTGTGGCCTCGCCATGCCCCGCCCCAAGCCCACCCCCCGGCGGCGTCGCCCCCCTCCAGCCCCGCCATCGCCCCCCCCGCGCCGGCGGGTACGGAGTGAGTGTGGGGGGATACCCCTATGGACACCCCTATAAACCCCCCTAGAGCCCACCATACCCCCTATGGACCCCATATGGACCTCCTATAGCCCCCATATCCCCTGTTCCTACAGACCCCCATAAATTCCCTATAGCCCCTATACCCTGTCCCCTATAGCCCCCCATACTTGCTGTCCCCTAAAGCCCCTCATAGATCCCCTATAGCCCCCCCATACCAGCCATCCCCTGTAGCCCCCTATAGATCCCTCGTACCCCCATGTCCACCCAGGCCCTATAGAAATCCCTTATACCCCTTATAGCCCCCTGTACTCCCCCATAGCTCCTCACTGTCCCTCTCACCCCTGCAGCCCCCCATAGATTCCCTGTAGCCTCCTGTGTCTCCCCAGGCCCTATAGATCCCCTAAAGTCCCCTATACCCCTCCTGTGCCTCCCAGGCTCTATAGATCTCCTATAGATTCCCTATAGCCCCCATACCTCCCTTTGTCCTCCTCTAGGGTTCCGCCCGGGCCAGCGGGCACTGCAGGAAATCCGCCGCTACCAGAGCAGCACCCGCCTGCTGCTGCGGCCTCTGCCCTTCTCACGGCTGGTGAGACCCAAAACCAACCCCTGGGAACCCCCCAAACCCCAACACCCACCCTGGGACCCCCAAACTGACCCCCAAACACACCCTGGGACCTCCAAAACCACCCCTGGGCACCTGCCTGCTGCTTAGGCCTGGGCCCTTCTCACAGCTGGTGAGACCCCCAACTGACCCCAAAACTGACCCCCAAACCCAACACCCACTCCTGCACTTCAAACCAACCCCTGCACCCCCCAACCAATCCCTGGGACCCCCAAACCAACCCTTGCCCTCCAACACCCACCCCTGGCCCCCCGCCTGCTGCTGTGGCCCGGGTCCTTCACCTTCCTGGCGAGACCCCAAAACCCACCCTGGGACCCCCAAACTGACCCCAGACACACCCTGGGACCTCTAAACCCACCCATGGGCACCTGCCTGCTGCTGCAGCCTGGCCCCTTTGCCCACCTGGTGAGACCCCAAAAAACCGACCCCAAAAGCCCAACACCACCCTGGGGCCCCCAAACCAACCTCTAGGACCCCCAAGCCCCCCTCAGAACCCCCTCAAACTCCTCGGGGACCTTGCTGGGACCCTCCAGCCCCTCTCAGAACCTCCCAAATCCACCCTGGGACTCCCCAAGCACTCCCTGAGACCCCTAAGTCCACCCTCAAATCTCCCGACACCCCAAATCCTCCCTGGGCCCCCCTCAAGAACCCCCGGGACCCCTCAAACAATCCCCAGGATCCCTTCAAATCCAACCCAAATTCCCCCTGGGGTCCCCCCAAATCCAACCTAGAACCCTCCAACCTGCCCTGGGACCCACTCAAACTCCCTCTGGGACCCCCCAGATCCACACTGGGACCCCCCCAAAGTGTCACTGTGTACCCCGATCCCCCTCTTGGGATGTTCTCAGGGTGGTGTCCCCATGTTCCTGTGCCTGGGGTATCCCCAGGGTGTCCCCCTCATGATGTCCCCGTGACCTCACTCCCCAGGGCATCCCCAAGATATCCCCAGAACGTCCGTGTCCCTGGGGTGTCCCCAGAGTGTATCCAGGGTGACAACCAGGGAGTCCCAGGATGTCCCCAGGGTGGTAGCCCCAGCCCAAGGTGTCCCCATATCCCCCTCATATTGTCCCACTGTCCCCCCACTCCCCATGTCCCCTGCTGTCCCCACGTTGCCCCCATGTCCCTGTGTCCCCTGAGCTGTCCCCGTGTCCCCCCCCCGTCCCAGGTGCGGGAGCTGTGCCTGCTTTTCACCCGGGGGGTCGATTATCGCTGGCAGCGCCTGGCCCTGCTGGCCCTGCAGGAGGTGGGGGGGCCCGGGGGGCTGGGGGGTCCTGTGGGAGCTCAAGGGGGGCCCGGGGGGCTGGGGTGGAGGGTCCCAGAGGGTCTGAAGGGGTCCCATGGGTGCTAGAGGGTTCCCATGAGGGTGGGAGGGTCCTATGGGTACGGGGGGGGCCTTGGGGGCTGAGGAGTCCAGGAACGTCTCTGGGTGCTGAGGGGGGCTGGATGGGGCCTGTGGGAGCTGAAAGGTTTGGTGAGGGGGTCTCATGGGAGCTGAGGGGGAGAGTCTTAGAGGGTCCCCATGGATGTGAGGGGGTCTCAGGGGGGCTGAGGGGGTTCTATGGGTTCTGGAGTAGGGGACCATGGATGTTTAGAACCTATGGGTGCTGGGGGGGGGCTGTCAGGGCACAAGGGGACCCCTCACCCATTTAGGGCCACAGGGTGTTTTATTTCCCCCAGTCCCCTGTGGGTGGGTTTGGAGAGGGTGTCTGGGGGTTTTGGGGGTTGCTGCCTCCTGGGGATGACTGAGGGAAATCGGGGGGGGGTTGGGGGCTCCCCCTGATTTTTTTGGGGTGCAGGCAGCAGAGGCCTTCATCGTGAGACTGCTGGAAGATGCGTACCTGTGCTCGCTGCACGCCCGCAGGGTCACCCTGTTCCCCAAGGACCTGCAGCTGGTTCGGCGCCTGCGAGGGCCCGAGTGGGGGGGCATCTGAATGGGGACCCCCACCCTGCACTGGTACCCACCCCTCAGCACCGCCAGCCTGGGGGGGGAGAGCCTCACACCGCTGATCTTACTGGGGGCTCCTATGGGACCATTGTGCTGAGACACTGTCCCACCCCATGGGGGCCTCCCACACTGGGATCCCCCTGAGTATACCCCCAGGACCCACCCCCAGGGGATCTTGCAGCCCAGAGCCCCCTCTCCAAGGGTCGTCCCCATGGGACATGACACCCCAATCCTGACACCCCAGTCTTGTTTGGTATCCCCCGCACAGACCCCTCACCCTGGGACCCCTCCCCAGCCCCCCCATGGGACCCCCACCCCGGGAACCCAAACAACCCTCCCAGGGTCCCAGCCCAGGGTGGGGTCCCCTTCTTGACTCTAGCATCCCTCAGATTATTGGAGACCCCTGTCCATGACCCCCCACTTTGGGAATCCCTCCAGGTCTGCTACACCCCAATAAATGTCTGTGACCCTCCAAGTGCTGCCGGATAAAGGGAAAGAAATGGGGGGCGGGAGGGGGAGGGCTCTGGGGAGATTGGGTTGGGGAACACCTGGGGAGGGGAGATCTGGGGGGGGCAGGTGCCACCATGGGGGCTCTGGAGAGATTGGGATGGGGGACACCGGCGGGGGGGTGCGAGGACAGGAGTGTCTCAGTGTTTAAGGGGTTCCTTTTATAGTGGTGGGGGCTGTGTACGGGGAGGGATTGTGGGGGCGGGGCTTAGGGGTTCACTTTATGGGCAGGGTCAGTTCTTCAGGGGGTGGGGCATAGGCTTGGAAACAAGACCCTCAAACCTCAGGGACCCCTAAAAGCACCCCAGGGACACACCTGGCACCCCAGGAACCCCCCCTTGCACCTCCGGGATCCCCATCACAGGGTGGGGACCAGGGACCCCTAAACACACCTCAGGGATCCCTACTGAAACCCCAGGGCCCCCCCCTGCACTTCCAGATCCCTGAACCCCCAGACCCCAATGCACCCCAATGTCTGTAGCCTAAGAGACACCCCAGACCCCAATAGCCCCCCTAGACCTCCGTAACCCCCCCAGACTGCAATACACCCCCCCATCCAATGCCCCCCAGCACCCTTATAACCCCCCCAGAACCCAGTATCCCAGACTCTGACACACCCCAATCCCTGCAGCCCCCTAGGGTCCCCCCAGCCCCCTATAACCCTCCAGATCCCAATATGCCCACAGACTTTGAGGTACACCAGTCCCTGCAGCCCCTCTGACCCCTCCATAGCCCCCCCAGCTACCCAAATTCACCAGTACAACCCAGTACAGCCCACTGGAGACCAGTATAACTCAGTACTTCCCCCGAGGAACCAAAACCAGGTGGGTCGGTTTGGGGGGTGGGGTGGGGGAAGAGGAATCAAGAGCAGGCGGGGGGGAGCAGGAATTAAGGGGGGGAGAAGGGCACGGGACTGGGGGTCCCAGGGACCCCTCCAGGGGGCTCACCAGGAGGGGGGTGACCCAGCTGTGCTTCCCCCCAGCCTCTTTGGGGACACCCAAATCCATCTGGGCACGGGCTACCTCTGGTCACGTCACAGGGGGGGCGGGGGAGAGGGAAGCAGTGACACAAAACAATACCTAAAACTTCCCTTTTCTGCCCCAAAATCGCTTGAGGCTGAGGCGGCAGCACGGTGGGATCCCGCCAGGGGGGAGATGGGGGCCCCCAAAATCCCTGGGGACTGGGGGACAGGGGGGTCCCTAGAGTGTGGATGAGGGGTCCCTGGGGTGCTGGGGGGGCGCTCCCAGGGTGCATGGGGGGCTCCCTGGAGTCTGTGGGGGGGGGTCCCTGGGATGGTGTGTGGGAGAGGCCCTGAGCCCTGAGGGTGGTCCCTAAAGTATAAGGGGGATTCTCTGGGGTTGGTATGTGGGAGAGTCCCTGAGCCCCAAGGGAGGTCCCTGGGCTTTAAAGGGGGTCCCTGGGTTGCTGAAGACATCCCTCACTCCTTTCTCTCCCTCTCTCCTGCCTCTCAGGATCCCCCCAGGACAGGGCAGGATGTACGCCCCACTGCTGGTGACACTGGTGACACTGGTGACAGTGCCCACGGGCGTCTCTCCCTACGGCTTCCGCAACTGCATCCAGGCTCCGTGGGACCCGGGGCTGTTCCGCTGCGTCCAGCGCTTCCTGACCACCGTGGGGGCTGCCGTGGGTGACCTCCCCCCCAACACCACCTCCCTCAACCTCTCGGTCAACACCCTGCACCAGGTGCCCCCTGATGCCTTTGCCCACCTCCCGCGGCTCCGCACCCTCGACCTGACCCACAACCGGCTGGAGTTGCTAGCCCGGGGGGCTTTCCGGGGGCTGCTGGCACTGGCCCAGCTGGACCTGGCCCACAACCACCTGTCAGTGCTGCCCACGGGGGTCTTCACCGGGCTGGGCAACCTGAGCACGCTGCGGCTGGACCACAACCCGCTGCTCGCTGTGGCCCCGGGGGCCCTGCGGGCGCTGCCCATACTGGCCACACTGCGGTTGCGGGGGGGCCGGTTGAGTGCCCTGGGCCCCGTGGCCATGGCCGTGGGGCACCTTCCCCGCCTGGATCTGCTCGACCTGTGTGGCAACACCCTGTCAGCACTGGCACCAGGGCTGCCACCTACACTGAGGGTCCTGCTGCTCTGCAACAACTCCCTGGGGACTCTGTCAGGGGCGGCCCCAGAGGTGCTGCCCGAGGGGCTGCGGGTGCTCGACCTGTCCTACAACAACATCTCGGACCCAGCACCCCTCGGCCGGCTGCGCCTGCACAACCTGACACGGCTGCACCTGGCTGGGAACCCACTGGACGTGACACGGCTGCTGAGGGTGGTACCCCCGCGCTGCGTGGACGTGTCAGGCCTGCAGGTGGGCGCGGGGGGCTTGACCGAGCTGTGCCAGCACCTTGTGGGGCCGTGGCTGCAGCGGCTGCAGCTGCGGCACACGGGGCTGGCAGCAATGCCTGCCAATGCACTGGCTGACTGCCCAGTGCTGGGTGCCCTGGACATATCTGGCAACCGGCTGCAGAGTTTGGGCTGCGTGGAGCAGCTGCTGGGCCTGGCACAGCGCGCGGCGCTGGGTGAGCTGGTGGCCGAGCACAACCTGCTGCGGTGGCTGCCGTCGTGCCACAGGGCCCCAGTGCTGCGGCGGCTCCACAACGTGTCCCTGCGCTTCAACCGCATCCTGGTGGTCGGTCCCCGTGCCTTCGCCAACACTCCGGCACTGCGGCGGCTGCGGCTGGATGTGAACGGGCTGGCGCGGCTGGACCGTGCGGCGCTGTGGGGACTCCACGACCTGCGGCACCTGCGACTCGACAACAACCTGCTCACCGACCTCCTGCCTGGCTCCTTTGCCGACCTGCACCGGCTGCGTGATCTCAACCTGCGCAACAACCGCGTGGCTGTGCTCTTCCCCGGTGCCTTCAGGGGGCTCAACCGCCTGCAGACCCTTGACCTGGGTGGCAACAACCTGCGACACTTGGCGGCCGCTGCGCTCCAGGGGCTACCCCAGCTGTGCCGGCTCTACCTGGACCGCAACCGGCTGCTGGAGGTGAGCGAGGCGGCGTTCCGGCCAGTGCAGACCACGCTGGGCGTGCTGGACCTGCGTGCCAACGCGCTGCGCTACCTGAGCCGGCGCCCGCGGCAGCCGCCACCCTTCCGCCACCTGCACCGGCTCTATGACCTGAAGCTGCAGGCACAGCAGCCGTACGGGCTGCGCGTGGTCCCACATCACTTCTTCCAGGGCTTGGGTGCCCTGCGCTCACTGTACCTGTCACAGAACGCACTCTCGGCTGTGCCTGCCGACGCCTTCGATGACCTGGCGCAGCTACAGTACCTGACGCTGGCCGACGGCAGTGGTGGGATGGGTGCCCTGCCTGCTGGCATCTTCAAGAACCTGAGCCGCCTGCGCAGTCTGGACCTGGAGAGCGCAGGGCTGCGTGGGCTCGGCCCCGAGGTCTTTGGCAATCTGACGCAACTGGAGGAGCTGCGCCTGGCCAAGAACGAGCTGCGTGGGCTGGACACGGCGCTTACCACACGCCTGCCCGCCCTGCGCTACCTAGACCTGCGCAAGTGCCCGCTGAGCTGCAGCTGCGCCAACGTCTGGCTGCCGGCCTGGCTGGCACAGGGACCTGTGCAGGTGGTCTACCTGTACAACTACACCTGTGGCGAGGCGGGCGGGGCCCCAGCATACCTGCACAGCTTTGACACACGTGTGTGCTACCTGGACATGGGGCGATACCTGTTTGCAGGGACAGCACCGGCCGTGCTGCTGCTGCTGGCGCTGCCACTGCTGCACCACCGCGGGTACTGGCGGCTGCGCTACCACCTGTACCTGCTGCGGGCGTGGGCGCGTGGGCGCTGGCGGCGGGAGCGGCGCCGCTACGCCTATGACACCTTCGTGTCCTACAACTCCGCGGATGAGCGCTGGGTGCTGGAGGAGCTGGTGCCCGAGCTTGAGCACGGGGCCCTGCGGCTCTGCCTCCACCACCGCGACTTCCGCCCCGGCCGCGCCATTGTGGACAACATCGTGGATGCCGTGTACAACAGCCGGCGCACGGTGTGCGTGGTGAGCCGCGGGTACTTGCGCAGTGAGTGGTGCTCGCTGGAGATCCAGCTCGCCAGCTACCGCCTCTTCGACGAGCTGCGTGATGTCCTTGTGCTCGTCTTCCTCGAGGACATCCCTGAGGCTGAGCTCTCAGCCTTCCACCGCATGCGCCGTGTGCTGCTGCGCCGCACCCACCTGCGCTGGCCCAGTGAGCCTCTCGCCCGGCCTCTCTTCTGGGCCAAGCTCAGGGGTGCCCTGAGTGGTGGGGATGAGGAGGAGGAGGACAGGGAGAGGGAGAGAGGCACAACGGGGATCCCCAGGGAGGTTCCCCCTCAGAACAGCAGCTTTCTGCCCCCAGTTCTCTCTGGGGAATGTGCCCTGAGCAGTGAGGAGAAAGAGGATGAGGAGGGGGTGGTCAGGGACGAAGGCTGTCCTGACATGACTGGGATCCCTGGGGAGAATCCCCCTCAGAAAAACAGTTTTGTGCCCCAAAATCACTGGGTTTCCTCTGGGGAATGTGCCCTGGGCAGTGAGGAGGAGGAGGACATGGAGAGAGGGGAGAAAGAGGAAGGATGTCCTGGCATGAACAGGACCCCCAGGGAGGCTCCCCCTCAGAAAAGCAATTTTCTGCCCCCAGCTCACTGTTTTTTCTCTGGGGAATGTGCCCTACACAGGAAGGATGATGGCAAGGAGGGGGAGTGGGAGGAGGAGGCGGAAAGCTCCAAGGTAAGAGAGCAGCTGCCCTAGAGTAGCCTCACCCTGGTGCAACCATGACCCCCAGGGACATTCCCCATTAAAAAAAATGACTTTTCGCCCCCAAATCCCTGTTTTTCCAGTGGGAAATGTACCCTGTGCAGTGGGGACAATGGTGAGGAGGAGGAGGAGAGGGAGGCAAGCTGGACATCAATGCCCCCAACCCCAGCAGCTCCAGAGACCCTGGAGAATGGTCCTTCCCGGAGCCTCTGGCAGAAAGTACCTTGGGAGACTCGAGGATGATCTCTAGCATTCTGGAGTTTGGGGATACAAAGGATCCAAGGCCTGTTACACCCCCTCTGGAAGAAGAGATCCTGGCAGCTTCTGAAGGGGTTCGAGCTGCTTCAGAAGTGATTGGCACTGAAGCACAGCTCTTCCTGGCACCCCGACTGCCAGTGCTGGGCTGGATGTTGAAAGGGAAAGTCCCTTCCACCCATCATGCCAATGATGCCACGTGGAGTCAGTGTATGGCTCTGATCACACAGCAAGATCACACAGAAATCCCAGTTACTCAGGGATCTTGGAAGTTGTCACAAACTGGCTTGAAGGTGAAAATTTCAGACTATCATCATCAGAGGAGGAGGAGCCACATGCTGAGGAGGCCCCACCATATTATCAGCTCCCAGAAAATGAAAAGCGGCACGCTCTCTTCACTGACGGTTCCTGACATGTTGTAGGGACAACAGGTGGATTGAGATGCTAAGATTAAAGTGTCTCGGGTGGATCTGGACTGGCAACACTAGAATGAATTATTTCTGGCTCAGTGGGCCCAGGACGCCTCAGGTCATCAGGAAGAGATGGAACATTGGCTCATGATGGAGGGGTGGATTTAACCATAGACACCATGTCCTGGGTTATTCATGACTGTGAAACGTGCTGAGAACAAGAAGGACAAGCAGGTGAAGTCTCTGTGGGATGGGGGATGATGGTGGAAATACAGATATGGGGAGGCCTGGCAGATGGATCACATCATACCCTGTGTTTACAATGGTGGGAACAAGCCCTGGACAGCTGGACACACACCCTGTGCTCACACCACTGCCTGGAAGAAGGTCCTGGGCCTGGAAAAGCGAGTCCTGTAGGAACATGGCCCCTAGAAAGAATTGAGAATTTCAAAAACAGCCTCATGGACCCCTGGGCCAGACAGCTCAGGATGGAGTGGGTGTATCATATTCCCCATCATGCACCAGCCACTGGGAAAGTTGAATAGAACAATGCACCATTCAAAACCACCTTGAAAGCATTGGGTGGTAGGACCTTGAAACATTGGGATCTCCATTTAGCCAAGGCTACCTGATCAGTTCACACCCGAGGCTCCACCAACTGAGCTGGCCCTGCCCATCAGAACCTCCCTGTACCATCGGAGGGGATAAAGTCCCCATGGTGCACGTGAGGAACATGTGAGGGAAGACAGTTTGGATCAGTCCTGCCTCAAACAAAGGCAAACTCAACTGTGGGATTGTTTTTGCTCAAGGATCTGGGGGCACTTGCTGGGTGACGCAGAGGGACAGGGAAACACGGTGTGTACCTCAAGGGGATTTGGTTTGGGGTGAGAACAGTCTGAGATGTTCAATTGTATAATACTGGTTGCTGAATGACACTGCCACTGGATCCCAGAACTCCCATGGACAATGAGGATGGACTGCTCCAGATACACCAGTCGTGAGCTCCCGATGCAGCTTGAAACCAGCCCACAGCACCCCAGCTCTGCCCTGGGAGACATCCAGGGTGGATAGAACCCACAGTCATGGACTAAATGAACTCAACAGACACCTCGGAGGGACAGCATTAACTGGGGAAGTGATTCCTGTGCTTGTGTGTGTGTATATATATATATATATATATATATCACTCGCCTCTCTCGTACTCTCTGTTATTAATATTGTTGCTGTTGCTGTTCCTTTTCTCATCTTGCAGTTTCCAGTAAACAGTTCTTATCTCAACCTGTGATCTTCACCTTTTGTGCTTCCAATTCTCCTCTCCAGTGTGATTTGGAGAGTCTATGGGAACAATAATATGGAGAGTCTATGGGCAGTTCCATCCCTAAAGCACAACACAAAGCCCCCCATGGCCTGGACATGTGCTAGCAGCCCTGCAGGAGGAACCTCATCCTCTGGACAAGGTAGATATTCCCAGGAATTTCAGGAGGTAGAGCAAAACAAGGCTTGTTTTCAAGGAGCTGGTCAAAGTCCTCATCTCTTTTACTTTTGAGGGGGGAGGTAGAGGCCTGGTTTGTGTGTAAAATCTCTCTGTGGATGCTGACATTTACTGAGCCACATGGTGTGAGCTCAGAGCTGGCCCTGCTTGGAGCTGGACATTGGACTGCAGAGCACTGAGCTCCCTTCCCTCCTGAACTCTCCTATGAACTTCCTGACTGGACAGTCCACCTGCCTGTCAGGTGTGCCCTGAATGGCATCCCAAGGCAAAGGAATGCTCCTCCCAATTTAATGCCATGAACAAACATGGTGAGAGTTGTGTCCTCTGAGCCATGATAGAGGTGCTGAACTGCCAAGGTCTCAGCAGAGTCCCCTGTGCTGCCCCACAATGCCCCAGTATGTCCCAGTGGACACTAGGGAGGGTGCGACCCCTTCACTTCTGCTCTCAGCATCATCATCCAGCTGCCTTTTCTGCCCAGCTCTTTGTCTGCCCACCCAGGCTGTGATGGCCTCTCTTGGGTAAAAGAATACTGAGGGAGACCAGACCAAAAGTCTTGCTGGAGCTGAGATAAAAAACATCCCTCTCAAGAAACCTCTGCCTTTTAAACTGGGTGAGGAATTGGCTGGATGGAGCAGCCAGAGAGGTGGTCAATGGTCTATTAATTGCAGTGGAAAGGAGGTATGTAGCTACTTGTGTTATTCTCTATAAAACTATAAATATATCACTTCAGAAAATACATAAGAAGGAAAAAGAAGGAAAGGACAAGGATAGGTAGTGGAGAAGAAAGATCTCACCCCCCATGGATCCAGCAATGAGACCTGATTGTTTCAATTTCTATGGTCAAAGGGATACTTGAGGTCTTGATCCTTTGGTGTTGGGGGCCCATGAAACAAAGAGTTCAGTGTGTCAATAATGCATGCTCAGGTTCACATGGGAACACCCAGGTACTCCCCCATGGAGGAATTCCATTCTTCCAAAAGCATGACAATTCAGGTCCTAGAAATGCGAATTCTTTCTCTTTTATGGAAATTTGGGAATTAGGATTAAAATGCCAGCATGGTTTATGTAGGTATTTGGAGAGCTGTGGAAAGGAGTTGTGGGTATTAGAATCAAAGAATCATGTAATGGTCTGTTTTGGAAAGGACCTAAAAGACCAGCTCACGCATCACCCCTACCATGGGCAGGGACAACTTTTAAAGTTTCAGGTTGCACAAAGCTCCTAACCTTGGACACTTCCAGGCAGGGGGAAACCACTTATCTGGGAAAACAGTTACGGTTTTGTGCCACTCTCATCATAAGTCATTTCCTCCTCATATCCAGTTGAAGTCTACCCTCATTCATTTTAAAGCCATTGCCTTGTACTCATTTGCTCTGTGAGTACAAGACTTGGGAAAAAAATTTCACTCCATCCTTCCTGGACTAAGCACACAATGTTTCCATCTGCAAAAACCTTGGAGAGGACCCAGAAATCTCTCATGTGGGGTTTGGAAGCCTCAGGCGCAGGACAAATACATGGAGGCTGAGGGTACTGGACTCGATGTGGAGAATTGAAGACAGTGCAGGAGTAGCCTGAGAGGGCTTGAAGGGCAGATTCAGAGATGGTGAGTTTTCCTTCTTAGTGGAAATGAGGATGAGAAAGAAACAATGCCACCAAGGGCAGCTGGTGAGGCCCAGACTGGACATGAGGAAAAAGGAATTTCACTCCCAAGGCAGTGCTGTGCTGCAACACATCACCCAGAAGGAGTCTGGATGAGCCCAAGGCTTTGTGTGTCCAGGAAGAGCCAGGGAGGACGCAGAGATGTCAGTGCAGGAAGGTGCCAGCC